GGGGGTGTAACTGTTTACACTTCCAGCTCCCTGTGCACACGTCGTAGAATTGATTTAGAATTTAATTAGGAGACGTTGTTTGGGTAGAAATCCAGTTTCCCAATAGGACCTTTTCATATAGTTAGGAATAGCACTTTCGTCATACTCTGGAAACAGCCATGAATGAAACTCCTTTTGTTGTAGTCGTAGGGGATTTAAATGTTGACCTCCCCGCTGTTGACAATAATCAGACCGACTGAAATTGGACGCACGTGCAACACACTACTTGACCATGTTCTTCTATCGGAAAACGTGTAAACTGTACGATATCGGACGTAACTGACATAGACAGCGACATTCGGACCACCAAGCAACATCTGTGGGACAACTATTGCAAGGAACTATAAGAGGGACATTAATTGTTATAACGACGCAGATTACGAACGGTCTAACAATTTACTTTTAGCAATTGACTGTGACCTGAGACGTGAAATAAGAAAAAGAGACAGAATTCTTCAAAAATTTAAACAGCTCAATCTAAAAAAATGACAAACAAATTATTGTATGCGGACATAAACGGCCTTTTAGACAATTATAGTGATAAAAATCCCAGAAACTTTTTGAAACTAGTCAACAGGTAAATAAAATCCTCCGACACGTCTAATAGTATACCGCCATTTAGGAGTGCGACTGGAAATATAGAAATGGACGACGATATTAAGACTAATATACTAAACGATTACTTTGTTTCAATATTATAGACGTTACTTACATTGACGTACCTGTTATAGAATCTTGAACAGACTCGGCCATCTCAGACATACCGTTTAATATTAATGACATTATCGACATTCTAAACACCTTAACAATCTGTAAAACTGTAGGAAAGGATAAGATTAGACATACCTTGCTAAAGAATACCTCTAATTCAGTTGCTTATCCTCTTTCATTAATCTTTCGCTCTTCTTTGGAAACTGGATCTTTCCCCAAACAATGTAAACACGCTCTAGTTATGCCCTTTTTAAAAAAAAAGAAGATAAACAAGATCCCTCCAAGTATAGACCTATATATATTGCACTATTAAGTACTATTGGTTAGTTTTCGAAAGGCTAGTCACTAAATATTTAAATAACTTCCTTTTAGATAATTCACTTGTATATAAATAAATATCAGTCAGGTTTTCAACAAGGTCATTTAACTGTACACCAGCTTATAGAAATATATCATACTATGTGCGGCAACGTTGAAAAAAACAGCCAACGTGTCTAATTGTTTTGTGATATTTCTAAAGCATTTGCTCGAGTGTGGTATAGAGGGCTGGAAGCTAACTAGCTAGCTATGGAATATTGGGAAAGTTATTGGACTGGTTAAATAATTATGTTACTAATAGATCTCAACATTTTTTTTATTGGAAATGGTAGATCTTCTGTTAAGATAACAAATGCAGGAGTACCTCAGGGTTCGGTTCTTTGCCCGTTGCTTGTTTGTACAGACAATACAGAAAGTCTACCAAAACATTTTGCTGATGACACGTCTCTTTTATATTCGGATGAATCACCACAAGTAATTAAACAAAAAGTTAATAATGATCTCGTGAATATACAACTGTGGGCAGATACGTGGTTTGTTAAATTTAATCCTGCAAAAACAGAGCCTTTACTTATTTCTAATATTGAACTTGATCACCTCATTGAAATTAACGATGATAATGTAAGTATTGAATTTGTTGAAAATCATAAGCATCTGAAAGTAATCATCTATGCTAATTGCAAGTGGACCTATCAAATTAATAATATGTGTAAAAAAGCAGTTAACAATTAAGTACCCTCCGTAAACTGAAATATACCATGAACCAACGTACATCGAATAAGATATATAGATCAGTTATACTTCCTATTCTAGAATATTGTTGTGAACTTTGAGATGGTTGTTCCATTACTGATACAGACAAATTCACTGGTTTACCGTCTTTTACTAGAAGACAATATATACATAATGAAACTGGATGGGATTCTCTAGCCCATCGGAGATCCCGTCGAAAACTTCAATTATTATATAAAATCCACAATAATATAGCTCCAAACTATCTCAACACTCTACTCCCTTCCCTTGTCGATAACTCTCACTATAATCTTCAAAACGCTGAAAACTACAACCTACCTAACAATAGACTTGAATTATCTAACGTTTCCTTCTTTCCTTCTACTGTTAAACTGTGGAACCAGTTACCTACTAGTGTAAGTAGACTGTTTATTTTATTCTTCAAATAAACAGTCTGAAGAATCTCCTAGGAGAGATGAAAGTACTAAAGACTCGTTGTTGAGAATTTTTCTTTTTATAATATATATATATATATATATAAAATAGAACAAAAGACAGAGATAGATATATATATATATATATAAATGAAAGCATTGAAAAATGAAATAATGTATATATGTATANATTCTTCAAATAAACAGTCTGAAGAATCTCCTAGGAGAGATGAAAGTACTAAAGACTCGTTGTTGAGAATTTTTCTTTTTATAATATATATATATATATATATAAAATAGAACAAAAGACAGAGATAGATATATATATATATATATAAATGAAAGCATTGAAAAATGAAATAATGTATATATGTATATTAATTAAGTCTGTCATCTTGTCATATTGTAAATATATGCTTGTAATTCTCTAGGAAAGGGCTTTATACAAGTTAAATAACTTCAAGTTCAAAGTATTTTATCTTCTTGTGCCCAAACAATTTGCATGACAATGAAATATGTTTAAACTAAAATAACGCATTGGTTTTCCCCGGGTATCCGGTTTTCTCCCACATTAAGACAACTGCGCACTAACATCGGGGCCAACAAGAGTGATTGATTAATGTTGTAATAACTTGTTTCATAATTATTGTTAAATAAAAGTGTCTTATTGAAACCAGACGAGAGTTCAAACAAGTGTAATCAACAACCCTCCTAAACAGACGAGAGTCCAAACAACCCCCTTAAACAGACGAGAGTCCAAACAAGTGTAATCCACAACCCCAAACAGACGAGAGTCCAAACAACCCCCTTAAACAGACGAGAGCCTAAACAAACACCTAAAACAGAACAGAGTCCAAACAAGTGTAATCCACAACCCCCTAAATCAGACGAGAGCCTAAACAACCCCCTAAAACAGACGAGAGTCCAAACAAGTGTAATCCAAAACCCCCAAACAGGCGAGAGTCCAAAAAAGTGTAATCAACAACCCCCAAACAGACGAGAGTCCAAACAACCCCCTTAAACAGTCGAGAGCCTAAACAAACACCTAAAACAGAACAGAGTCCAAACAAGTGTAATCCACAACCCCCTAAAACAGACGAGTGCCCAAACAAGTGTAATCCACAACCCCAAAACAGACGAGAGGCCAAAAAAGTGTAATCAACAACCCCCAAACAGACGAGAGTCCAAACAAGTTTAATCAACAACCCTCCCAAACAGACGAGACCCCAAACAAGTGTAATCCACAACCCTCCGTAACAGACGCGAGCCCAAACAAGCGTAATCCAAAAACCCCTAAAACAGACGCGAGTCTACCCCCCCCCCCCCA